GAGGGGACAGCGGGACAGTGGTGGGGACAGTGGGGGGACAGTGGGACAGCGGTGGGGCGGTAGTGGTGGGGACAGTGGTGGGGACAATGGTGGGAACAGGGGGGACAGTGGACAGTGGTGGGAACGGTGGTGGTGGGGACAGTGGTGTGGGGACAGTGGGAATGAGGTGGAAACACTGGGACAGTGGAGGGTACAATGGTGGTGGGGACACTGGTAAAGGCGGTGGCGAGGACGGCGGTGGGACAATGGGACAGAGGTACAGTGGGGACAGTGGTGGGGACAGTGGGGACAGTGGTGGAAACAGTGGGACAGCTCAGTGGGACAGCGGAGGAGTCAGTGGGACAGTGGGGACAGTGGGGATAGGCAGTGGTTGGGTCCGTGGAGACAGTGGGGAGAGTGGAACCGTGGTGGGAACAGTGCGACAGTGGTGGGGGCATTGGTGGGGACAATAGGGACGGTGGTGGAACCAGTGGGGACAGTGCAGTGAGGACAGTGGTGCTGGGAACAACAGTGGGGGATGTGATGCGAGCGGTGGTAGGGACCGGGAGTCGTTTGCTGGCGGTGCGCGGGGGGGGGGGTCGAACCGGTAGTGACCCCCCTCCGGTTTTCGAGGGGGGGGGGGGGTTCGAACCGGTAGTGACCCCCCCCGGTTTTCCGGATCCGGAGGGGGGGGACGGGGGACCCAGATGCTGCTCGACCCAAAAAGATCGGTAGCGCTCAGGAGAGATCGGGCGCGACCGAAATCGCAAACACACCGCCAAATACCGGTAGCGACTCAGCGACGCATCTTCAGCCAATACTGGTATTGCCTTGAGACTCACAAGGACGATATCGGTAGCCAGTACCCAAAATTGCAGATATGTGCTACCGAAATTCGAGCTCGCGCGCGTCGCCCAATACCGAAATTTCGCTACCCATTTTTTGGCGCGCGCCACACGCGGCGCGCGACAAGAAATGCGGAGAAACTTGCGTCGCGAACCGCTTCGGGAATCCTTGACGCTTCGCGTATCCCCACCAGAAACGATCAGCAGGGGAGTTGGTGAATCAGGGGCGGCAAGACGCATGCTGTCGCGCAGCCGTCTTCAGGAAAACAGGGATCACACATAGTTCCCGCATTGAAGTTTGATATGGAAATCGGTGCAAGCTACGATGGTGCTTCGATGGGGGGTGAGGGGTGTTTCGATGATTTGTAATGGTTGTCGCGTGCGTTTCGAAACTTGGAGCCATCTTGGGGCTCTCTTGGGGTTCTCTTGGGGCCCTCCTGGAGCTCTGTCTTGGGGCTCTCTCGAGGTCGTCTTAGGGCATCCTTGGAGCCGCCTTGGGGCTGTTTCGAAGCGTCTTGGGGCCCTATTGGGGCTCTTTGGGGGGGGGTCTGGGGGCCTTATTGAAGCCCTTTGGGCATGCCTGGGTGGCCTCTTGGGGCCGTCTTGGAGTTTTTCGCTATAAAAAAGCGTCCTTAATTCTGACCCCCATCGGCCCTCCTCCACCTCCATCCTCCCTCCTCCTCCACCTCCACCATCATCCTCCAACCCCGCGTTGCCCCCTCCATCCACAGCCCATTTAGCTTTTTTTGTTGTTTCACAATTATGGCGGCCCCACCCCGTCGCCGCCCGACCGCCGAAGTCGATGAGATCATGCTGACAGAGGCTCTGACCAAATATGTCGAGGAGGTCGGCTGCAAGAATAGTTTCGTGCTCGGCCACTACGAATTTCTTCGTAAAGATTGTGCTGTGCATGCGAGTTCTCTCGCTCGGATGCCGTCGCTGGTGGCACCCGCCCAAAACTGAGGAATGAAGGAGGGGAGTGGCGGGGGATTACACGGGGGGAGGCGGGGGGGCCCAAGAGGCCCCGAAGAAGCCCCAAGAGGCCCCAAGAGGCGCCCAAGAGGCCCCGAAGGCGCCCCATGAGGCCCCAATGGGGCTCCCAAGAGGCCCCAAGAGGCTCCCCTGGACGGCCCAAGACGGCCCCAAGAGAGCCCCAGGCTGTCCCAAGAAAACCTCTGGCCCGCGCCCCCAGGTTGAAGTTTTGCTCGACCAGTGCGGCCTCGTGGAGGTCACCTTCTCCACGCTGCGCGGCGCCCTGCATCGGGTGATCTCGCGGTGCCGCCCGGCATTCGACAGCGGGGGAGGGCGAGGAGAAGGAGGAGAAGGAGCAGGAGGAGGCGGGGGAGGAGGAAGAGGGGGAGGAGGAGAAGGAGCAGGAAAAGGCGGGGGGGGGGAAGAGGGGGGAGTAGAGAAGGGAAATCGGGGCGGGGGGGGAGGAAGAGGGGGGAGTAGAGAAGGGAAATCGGGGATGGACAGACCCCCCTTTAGCAAAACGTGGTTTAGCGAAAACGACCTGAGGCCCAAACCTGGCGGGCGCGAGCCTGGAAAATAACGGCCACGGCGCCCTCTCGAGAACCGAAAACGGACAAGTCACTAATCGACGTGTCACTGTTGGGGGTTCTGTCCAGCCCCGAGGAAAGCGGCAGATCGCGGCCGCGAACTCAGATCTCAGAACT